ATATATATATATATATATCATTTTTTAAATTAAAATAAATCATAAACAAGCTTATTTTTGAATTTAAAAAATAGAATAAAATCCACAGCATGAAAAAAGCTTGTGTTAAGTATTGATGAATAAAATTTAAAATAAATACATGCTAAAATATATTGAGCTTTGATGAATTTATATTCATCAAAAAAGTGTTTGGCTCTTATTAATATAAACATCTCATTGCACACCATATTATAATATTAATAGCACATTAATAAAAAAAAATAGTATTTAGGCCTCTGCATATATAAGTCTGAATACCTTTTCATGAAAGATGTCATCTCTGGTTTAGAAATAAAAAACTATGGAGAAAGCCGCAACTCTAGAAAGCACTCATTGTGATCTTTCACCCTTTCTCAATCTCTCTATGTTCCTTGAAGTGCTTTTTAATCACTTGTTGCCAGCAAAATGAAGGTGTGGTCATAACTTGTTGCAAAAGTTTCTACTTCATCCATTTCTAACAATTGGCTTATAATTATATATTCATTCATTCAATCCTTTTAAATAAGCTGTCATGATTGCTTCTGACTAAAACTTAACCACCCGTCCCTAATGTAATGTAAATCCACCATTCTATTTTTAACTAAATGAGATAAACCGTAGGTCAAATTCATAAACGTATGTGTCACTGTCGGTCGATTTGGTGAAACAATCAATTACACACACAATAGAATATAAATGTGATTGATTTGGGTTAAGATCATGGGTAAATATTTAACCAGTAAAAAATGATTAGATCACAGGTGTGCTCACGTATGTCTCCTCCAGTGCACGTCACAGCCCTGACTACAGCCTTTCTATTCACACCAGATCAGTCCTCAGTTCCCTTGACTCAAACAATGGCCCATTCATCACTTTCTGTTACAGTATGTGTCCGTCTGAAGCCAGATTTTTAAACGTGTCTCCTACTTCTTACACACTTGCTAAAAATAAAAACAGCAACTTCAAAATACACCATCGAAAATTTCATCTAAATCTAAAAGAAATCAACCTGACTGGAACCTCCTATATTGTTCCTGAATGCCAGAACACAATAAACATTCACTGCCCTGCCAGAGCTTTGTGTGCAATGTCAGTCTAAAATCACATCAAAAGCAAGTGAAAAGGAAAGTTAAAAGTTATTCAGATTCTCAGAGGATGTACAAAACAGAACATCCTCTTGGGTCCTCTCAATAAAGGGGAAAAGCAATTCTGCGATAGTTCCTACCAGGAACTTATTAGTTCAATATCTTCATCATATGATCAGACATTAGTCAGAAAACACAAAGGAAGCGGAAGGAAACTAACATCAAGGCTTGACATCAAATATTATAAATCATAACATCATATAGTGCTTATTGTTTCTCATAGTATCAGGACTAAAATCTCAGGTGCTTCATGTGGTAACTTTATTTAGAAACTTGGAAAAAGTCCAAAATATGATTCAATTTGACTAAATCCACCAGAATATATTACATAACAACAACAAGTCATTTTTAAGGGTCGGATTGGATATAAATTTCACCTCAAGATCACTTTTTACAGTGTTTCTGCCAAAAACCACAATCCGACCTACTGAGATGAGTTTTACTTTAGGTAAATGTACTTAAAAAAATGTATAAACAATTTTCATTCAGAAATTGCTAGCAAATTTCACAAATAATTTCAAAGTAGCTGCAAATAATATTGATGAAATAGTTTTCATTGTAAAACATATAATATTTTCTTTACAACTTTGAAAAATAATTTTTTACTGTGTGGTTTGCACCTGTTTGGCTGTACAACAGAGACCGTGAGTTGAATAATAGTTACTTAAATATACACAGTCTGTCAATCTAAATATCTTTCCTACACACACCTGGAGGCATGCAGCCAGGGACCCTCAGGGGTCCTAAGATGACAGGTGACAAATCACACACAAAACTGAAGGTGCAAAGTGATAATGGGTAAAGTTTGGTTGCATATTGGCTTACCTGTACGATCAGTTCCCCGTCGTGGAGTTCTCTCTCCACAGTATCAATTCCTCCACTCCCCCTCCTTCAGTTGACTGAAGTGAGCATAGTCCACACGCTCCTTCCCTCACACACACGCTGCCGCTAACAGAGCTGGGGCTTAAAAACACAATGGAAACCTGTCTGAAATGAGTCTGAACAGGTGAAATGACTGAATGTCCACTTCAGGTGTGATTATAAACTGAAGAAGTCGAAAGCGAGGGATGGTTTCAGCCCTTGGCAGAGAGGTAGACACGACGTGCCATATCAGAGCTCTCTGGACTGAAAGCGGTAGCTGGTTTTTCAGGTCTGGCCTGGCCCCCAAGGCGTGCCACATTCACAACACAGTTCACACACCGCTCTCGGTCAGTACTCACTTTTATTTAAACACACACATACACATGCAGTGCATTTCTCATTGACTTTCTCTGTGTAACAGAATGTAGAATAGTAGAAAATCATTACAAGATTAGCACACGTGCTGTACACATGCAAATCAAGGGCCACAGAGAGAGCTGATGTGGTTTACAGATGATGTCTTATCAGCCACATTTAAATATTCAATCAGATTCCCTTCAAGTACATCCTTAACACACACTCAACTGCAAATCGATTTGAGCAGATACCAGAACATCAGAGTTGTTGTAATTCACTTGGTTGATGAATATCCTGTTTTTGTCTGTCATTTAAGTCAATTAACCTATTCTAGTCTAATTATCAGACATTATTAACCAATTCACTTTTTATATTGAAATAAAGTTATTAGGCAAAATTGTATTGTGTAATTAATTATTTAGCATTAAAATTTAAAAATAATTTACATGTATATTACTATAACCGCATAATTAAGATGAGTCATACCTTGGTGTTTTCTGCAACTCTTTCTTTTCAAAAGCAATTTCTTTCAGAAAAAGGCATGTTTCATCCCTCCACCCCGACACACACACACACACACACACACACACACTAAAAGAAAGGGGACATTTGTTCTTTTTGAGGGATTCCTTCCTCTAAGGGATCTCATGATAGAGTTTCACTCATGGGTTTTCCAGTCGACCAGCCAGTGCAATATGCCTCAGCGGGAATCAAGTTACTTGTAAAGAGCAAAAGTGTTTTCTTTCCTTCTTTCTTTTTTATTTATATTTATTTATTTTTATGAGACAGCCACTTTCTGTTTTAGATATGTTCGAAATGAAATAACAGATATTACCATACTTTCTCTACACTTCTTGCCTCGTTTGTGAGTTCATGTTCCCTGATACAGCTTGTCCCAGTGGGAAATTTTATGGTTCTTGTGTTTGGCAGTTTGCACTCTTTTTCAGATGGCATCATTATATAACAAGAACACGTTTAACTGTCCTGCTCAGCTTTCACAAACAACTGGAGGAGAGTGGAGACTTACAGAAGAGACTCTATTGTCCTCGGCCTCAATCTAGTTCAAACAAAACTGATCCATAATGGTCACCGCTGCCAGTCTTACATTGTTCTTTTTAGCAGCATCATATGACCCATTTAAATGTACAGGTATTCAAGACGCAATCTGTCGAGGTTCGTCGTCTCGCGATACAAACGGTAATTTGACGCCACTAGCAGTTAGCCTCACAGCAATTGTCTAAAAGACATACCAAAAAAAAACATTTTTGTGACATATTTGTCATATGTACTTATGTAATAAAGCGATAGCCTACTTAATAATAGTACTTTTTGTGCTTTATCTACGTACTACGTGTTGTTACCTAGTCTGGTGTGCGCGACTTTGTGGGTTCGTTTCAGAGATTTTTGGCGACATATATGGACAGTTACACACTCTAATCTTACCGTTATTATTACTACAGCGTTTTAAATTTCTGTTGAAAACGAGATATTTTTGTATAGTAAAAATATCCTGCAAACTTTTAGTTTTGACGTCATGTTCAATATACTCAGCACGCAGCACCATTATTCTCACCCTGAGGTATCTTCAATAGACACGCATGCTTACAACAATAATTCTTAATTCAGTCAATTAACTTAACTCGCTCTTCAAAGTATCTTGCATAGACTATCTGCTCTACACATACACAAGATAAGAGCTGAAGTCAGGCTGTTTCCATTGGTCATCAGCAAACACATGGCGAGCGCAGGTACACACAGCACTGCAATCAGTCACCCATCTCAGGGCATTACACATCCGGCCCGAAGATTACACTGTTTACATAGTTTAAGCTGCTTTCGTTTGTCCATATATCACACTGTGGCTACCTTTTTTTCTCCCTCAAAGAGAGACTGCAAAAACAAGGCATTATAGCCTACAATACAGTGGCCCTAAGAGTTTGGTCTCTTAAAATTGCATGATTTACATTGCAGTCGATAACAAAATAAAAGTAGATAACAAATTATTTAATTAATATGTTTAATTTATCAACATTTGTTGATATTGGATATAGATAGCACCGTCTATTTGCTGACATCTGATGCTCACTTAAAAAAATCTTTAGTAACAGTATTTAATAATATGTTGAGTTTGTATTCATTGGATAAAATAGTAGGCCTATAGGCCTATAATTTACATATTTATCGGCAATTTATCGTTTATATCACCTATAATGTACTGGGGAATGTGCTCATTGGTATCTGCCAGAATTTTAATATGCACCTAAAACAAACCTCTTATTAAATATTTTGCTTATGTGTGTGCTTTTTATTTATATATTGTTCAGTTTGATATTTAGCTAGATTGTACAATGACATTTATACATTTTAAGTGTGACTTACAATTAAGTGTCCAAATACGTTTTGGGGCCACTTTATGCAATATTTATAAATGAATAAGTCGATAATATTATACTGTATAAGTGATATGTGATCCAATCTTCAGTATATTATCAGATTCCTTGTATAGCTATACATTTAAGTGGTTATAAGCAGATTTTCAGTATACACATCGATTTGCATTATGCAAGGGGAAAAACGTTACAAATTCAGGCAGATCTAGTTCTTGTAATACATCTTGTTCAAAGCTACTGGATGTGATTCACAAGCTCCTTATTATTTCCCTCAAAGAATAATTCCCAACAGGACATGTGAGAGCCTGTATAATTATTATCTTTGTATCAGTATTTGTATCCCAGGAGACAGGGCTGGGATCTCCTCATTGACAGGTAAAAACAAAAATCAGGTGTGTCCCATTCTCCCCTGGTGAGGTGGAGATGACCCTCCTTTTTATTATCAGATAAAGAAAAACTGGATAGTGGAAAGTAGGCTAATTGTGTGACTGTGACAGTTAAACCTACCTTTGTTTAAAAAAAAAAGGCAAAAACAGACAATAAGCACAACTGAGATATTTATAAAGCCTGGCGCAATCTGAATTTGATATTGTTTTTGCATTAATGAGGTAAAAAAAAAACAGTAAAATTTCACACGGACAATGTCTATTCAGAATTGAAGTTTTTGCCCACGTATGGCCGCTCCTTAAAACACAGATGGAATGAGGAAGAGAAGGACACACACACACACACAATTTTGTAAATATTTCCTGATGGGGACATCCTATTCATCTATGATTAATAAAATATGGTGCCAATAAACGTTATTCACACCCTTAAACAGTATTGAATCATAATGGACTTTAATCTAGATGCACACTTTTCTGTCACGTTGGGAGGTACTTGACTACTTGGGTGAAATAAACATTACAACATCTTTTTTTAATAATCAGTTCTTTATATATATATCTTTATTTATATATTTATATGCCAATGAGAAACAAATAACAATCATATTTACACAAACAAAAGCAAGCTAAGAGTCAGAGAAGAGCTCTGCAAAAAAAACAAAAAAAAAACATACCATACGGGACACAGACATATAACTGTAAATTATTGCTTTGTGTTCACGGGTTATGAACTACACTTAAAGTACTAGACAATATCTAGATCCAAACAGAACAGCAACGGTGATAGAACTGACTATCTGTAGACTTATAAAAAGAAAAGAAAGAACAAGATCATTTTACTGATACGGAGCAACTGCAACAACAGCCTTAAAGACAGTAAAAAATATCAATACATTATGCTGCCAATGGTAGGCTTATCTTACAACTCGGTACAAATTTGCTTCTTGTGTTCATATACTTAACTTCTTCCTTTTGTCTTAAAGGTTAACACACACAAAACTCAAAGAGTCCAAAACATTTGTTCATGCTGGTTATCAAGAACTCAAAGAGCTTTGTTCACCATGTTTCTCACCCCTGTATTGACTGAAACACAACAGGATGAAACAGGCAGGAGAAAAGGGCTGCATTCAGAGTGAGATACAAACGGGAAAGACTGCATCTATGGAAAAGTCACAGCATGCAGAAGTACAAAATAAAAAAAAGTTAATTATTTATTTCTATATTAAGTTATTTGCTAAATGAGTCCTTCATCTCTAAAGGATTGGCTTTTAAACAAAACACTTGAAATCTTTTTCTGACATGTAAGTAAGGGAGCAAGGCAATTTATAAAGTCACATGAATTTCACAGTTATTTGTTTGCATTATTTCTTTTTCATTGCATTTCAAAATATGACTGAATATCACTCAATGTTTAACTGAATTTTCTTTCTTTCTTTTTTTAAAATTATTTTTTGACTAAAATGTGACTTTTTTTATAAGGCTAATTTAACCGCCATCTTTATAAGCCTCTCTGCAATCCTCAATCTGATTGGTCAATCGTGACATTCTACTTCACTGACTGTACATTATTACTAAAACAAATATCTTAAAATGACATTTTCATCCATCCATTTTCATCTATTTTTACCTTTTTGGTATGAATTAACACAGTGGAGGTTTATAAACTGGAAAAACAATTATGAGACACAAAAGAACTGGGATAGTTCCACAGAAGAAAGAAAGTCATACAGGTTTGGAGTAAATGATGACAGAATTTTCATTTTTCGGTGGACTATCCCTTTATATGATTTGATCTGTCATTGCAAAATGCACAGCTTAACAATATGACAGTATCATTATCAGTACTCAGTTCTGGGTCACTCGGCACATTGATTTTAATTTTGAAACTTGAGCATGTCAATGTATATTCAATAAATCAATGAAGATATGAAAAACACCAAACATTGTCAGTGCTAAACAATGCAAGTGGTACAGAATCACGCCAAATAGAGATGGTGTAAAACTAAGACCCAAACCATGTGCTTTTTCCTAATTGTTTATCTGGCCTGCAAGTGAATGATGCGCTATACAAATACAAAATATCGAACTTTACACCTGACAACTATTTCTTCGC